AAGCCAATCATTATGAGAAGTAGCCCACAGGCCCAAAGTAACTGTGAAGAGCTGCAAAAGTCTACAACTCAGATGGAAGGATCTGTTAAACTAGATAATTTTCAAATGTAGACTTTATGACAGGGTGAAAAAAAGCAAAAGTTTTATTGAAAGGAAGCAACAAACAGTTGAAATAAACTTTCTGCACTGCTATTTAGGCTGGAAAGTTCAAATGAAGCATCACCCTGAGTGTGCTGTTTCCATAGTGATACATGTTTGGTCCAGAAATATTACAGCGTGCAAACAAAACATAATTGTATCTTCTACAATGACATTCCAGCTTCTTCTTCCCATGCTGGAGTCCTTTTTTAGCAATGATGTTAAAGATGCTTGGAGTACATGGGATGATGGATGAATGCAGATGCTGCAAATTTTTTTGCTGCCATAGTAGCGTTTCAACAAAACCTCCTCCCTTAACATACAGCCAGCACTAAAATGTATGCTATGGATTACATTTTTCTGGGCCCTAAAAAAATTCAGCCCTAAATTCCTTTGAAAACCTTTTGTGCTAATGTTTAGCATAAACTAAAATAAATATAGATTTTAAGCTTTAATGTGACAAGATTCTGCGTTTGTTTCTAAACACTGTTTTTTTTATCAGCTTCTGCCCGAAGCCTTCAGGTTAAACCTAGATCTGGTAAATCTTCATGACTAAGCATAGTGTTACTACATTACAAACTCTACAACCTCTTAGTGAAACAGACAGAAAGGCGTTAACTCTTTCTTTCTCATTCAGGCGTGGATATATTTGCTCTGTAGAGAATTCCTGTATACACTGCAGCTCCACAGAGGCACATTGTATACAATGGGCACCATAAGGGTAAAACAGATACCTTACAATCTACAAAACCTTTGGCTTAAAGTGAAATATCTTTAATATTGTTTACTTCGCTTTACCTTATAATTATTCAAATTTGTTTGAGAACTTCTCTCTTTCTACTTCTAACTGAGCCGTAAATACATCAAAAACAACTCTCACTATCAGTTCAGAGTAACCAAAACTAGTAATTCTAAGTTAAGTATAGTTGTAGCAAGGTGGAGTTTGCACAATGTAAGTTTAGCATATGAGTGTGTGTGAAGTAGAACGCTTTTTCGAATGGGCAGAACACACAACAGTTAGAAAAGCTGCTGAGTGAATGAATGACTCACGTTGCTAAACAAAAAGTATGATTCAATATTTGCAAGGAGATGCAAGATTCTGAATGCAGAACTTGATTTATCAATGGGCGTACAAAGCAGAACCCCAACAGGTACTGTCAGTAAGTGTTAGTCAAACTAGGCAAGTTTGGATGAAAGATTATAAATACGTTTGGAACTGTTTTATGCCCAGTCTCCCTGTTTTAGGGGGTAAATATTAGACGCAACAGTATCAGAACTATATATATATATATATGTTACTGTTTATCTTGACTAATTTTGCACATTTTGTTCTCTATGTTTTATTGTTACGTGCAATAAAACATGGTTCAGCTCTTGCTTTAACACCTCGATTCCAGTGTCATTATCAGCCAACCTCAGTTTACTTTGTAATTGCCTCACCTGCAGTGCATTGAATTTTTTTTTTGTTTATTTAATTTGTGGGTCTTAGGGACCTGGTGTTGCATCCTCTACTTATTTAGACTTCAATGAGTTTCTCATTGTCTTCCTTAATGCTTTTGTATGAAAATAATAACTTATTATGAATATTTTCCAATGGGTCACCATCATTTGCATATTTGTAGATCAAGTATTTTTAGAAGGGGATTTATTCACTTTAGGAAATAACCAGGAAATATCATGCTCGGGTCCAGCAACGATGAACATGGATGATTTGATTTGCATGTCTGATTATTCCTGTAGCAACCTTTATCAAGGAATCAGCTGCTGGTTTTACACAAAATTGTTCAAACAAAGAGTATAACAAGCATATCTAAATATTCTGGATGATCTGTCTAAGCTCCAAAGTTTCACTCTGCTTTTCATGTGCTACTGTTCCAAATGCTACTGGAAATTCCTACTTAGGAGTCTTCAACTCCTCCAACCACCCCAGCTACACCCTTGGCCTTCACGATTAAAGATCCTCTCCTCAACGCACGACTTACTGAAGAAATGTGAATAGGCAGAAATGAGCTCATCGCTCCATTCACTGGCTCTGCTGTGGAAATGTACCCTGTATATAAACTGTAAACATTGCATCCTATTAAACAACTTCTTTCTGTTGGAGTCATTTTCAATTTCTGCAGCCAACTAAAACAGATGCTATACGTCACACTTGCTTATTAGCTCACAGCACTCCAAAGATTTATGTACTTTTGAAAAAGCCTACTAGAAATTACAGGTAAGGATTCTACAGTGTACTAACCTCATAAATCTTGTTTTTAAGATTAACAATTGTCCTTTAACCAAACATCCATGTTTTTGGGAGGAAGCCAAAGTATTCCTAGGGAAGATACATCTGTATACTGTAAGTTATTATTACATTAGGCCTTTTCCATTTGAAGTTTAGACACACAATGGGTGGGAAAAACAACGAAAGCTTATAACAAGAAAAAAAACACTTAATAAAATAAAAGGAATCAGAATCAAAAGAGGACTTGTGCACTTTATTTTTATTTTTTATCATCTTTGTGTAATCATTTGACTTTTTTTACTTGTTCTCTATTGTTCAGTACAATGAAAAAAGAAAGTAACCGTCTGACAGTGAGTGTGTCCGTTTCTTTCTCATTGTGTTAGTAATTTGATCATCTGGTGACCCATCGGGCGTGCCCGGCTGTATTCATGTGTGAAGGCATCTTTCACAAGACCTTTTTTATTCCTGTAAGTTTTGCCTCCTTAGATGAAAAAAATACTTATTTTTAGCTGTTGGTGTCATCTTAGGTCAGATTGAAATACTGCTGCCAATATGTTCCCTCTGCGGACTACGTGCCCTCTCTGTGGTGTCATTTTTGCTCGATTAGGTCATTGTTTTTTTGTTCAAACGCGAACATGCTTGCATCTGTCCCTGTGTGTGTCAGTGTTGTATTAAGAAAGCTAAAAGGTGGGTGGGATAAAGGACGTTTTCTCTTTCAGAATACATGGGAGGTTGTCTAACGTCGGGTGGGGCGCCATCACCCATTATCATGTCCGAACCTGTTCCTTGATTTACGTATTGTGTTTCCTTTTTACTGGAAGTGAGATGGTTTCTGCTCCTGAATCCTGAATTTCATTTGATCACATTTGCCCAACCCCTGATTCACAAGTGTCATGTTTCTGCAGAAATTAGCCTACATGTTTGATAACTTGTTATTACATGTTTTAAGAGATATCACCCTTAAAAGATGTGATAAAAACATACGACCAATTGTTGAGGTTGGTTCAAACAGAAACTCCTGAAGGTGACATGCAGCAGAGGCAAAGACAAGCTGGGACTCATCAGGTGTTTTCAGGAAAAGAAAAAACATTGATTGCATCCTTCGCATCAATTCATTAAGGTTTCTCTTTCTGTTTGTGTTAGCAGTTAACTGGCTTGTGTGTTTGGATTTGTTTTTGTTACCCTGTGGGGACAGTGTATGGGAAAATACGGTACATCGTGGGTACTTACATGTACTTGTGGAGACCACTTCACTGGTCTCCATGGAGGGAAGTTATCTCTATATGCATTGGTAATGGTTAGGTTTAGGGTTATTGTCTGGGTTAGAGCATAGGAAGGGGTCAAAGTGACTGAAATCTATTTAATCCGTGCAAATCAACATATTGTCCTCACTATATTAGCAAGATAAGAATATATTTGTTTTTGTGTTGCCAAAACATACTCTGATATTATGAAAATGCCACCATGCTTGATGCAAATGTTTTCATTTTTCTTTTCAGTGAAGTGGCACCAAGATAAAACATTTTTTAGTGCTTTTGCTGCAATGACTGAGAATAAAACTGAATGCTAAGTAATTATCCATTGCAGTGAAAACTGAGTTTGTTGCTGAAAAAGTTGTAAATTGTGTTTCATTATTGGATCTTGTGTTGCTTTTTAAATCAATGCAGAAAGAATCCAAATCTCATGACAGCTATGCTTTCTAGCATCGCCCTCTGCTGGCCTAAGAGTGCCAGTGCAATCTGATCACAGAGAAGTTAAAGGTGCAGTTTAAATCAAGGCTTAAAAACTCACCTGTTAAACACTGCTTACCTCCAGTGATTGCCCTAAGCTCTTTTAGTTTTTTGCAAAGGGATCTTGGGTGTTTTGAAGGACACTTTCAATAACATGTATGATGTTTTTCCTTTCCTACCCGAAATAGGGTTCTAGCTGTTGACCCCTTGAAAAGTGAAGGAATAGGAGATAGGAACAGGGAGTAGGAGCTACAATTTGAGGTATTCAGAGCAAGCATATGTCTTCCGGCTGGCCCTGGAATACCTCAGGCTTCCCTTAAAGTATGTAGAGGACATATCAGGGAAAAGGGAAGTCTGAGCATCTCTACTGAGACTGCTGACCCTTGACTCCCAGATAAGCAGAAGAATACAAATACAAGTAAAATTTATATATGCCCTCTATGTGAATCAATTTAAACAATAAGTTTTACCTTTTAAGTAAATTTAGCTTAGGCGGAAGTGCAACTGAAGAAACTCAACTACCTGCTCTCATCATCAGAGGCTCTCTGCCTCTTACGCAAACCAATTAGCTTTAAACCACACCTCCTCAAAGCCCAATCAGCATTCAGAATTCATCTTAAAAGGTCTTTAAATCCACATCTCAGTCTGCTACCAAGCCCTGTTCTCATACACCTGATTATGCATGTTAAAATAAAATTCTGCACTAATGTTTCCTGACGAGGTGTGAGCACCAAAGTTTTAAAATGATTGTATCAAATAAAGTTCTTCTAATTTTCTTTTGCTTTCCGTGTGATTATTCAGATTGAAATGACCTGTAATAAATTAACTTTTTAAGATATCAGAAAAAAGGCATGTTCATTAGAACATCACTTTATTTAAGGAGGAGCTAAAGAAGCAGACAATATGATGGGAAGATGTGCTTTATTTTAAATCACCTAGATCAAAACTGGAAATAAATCACATCACTATTCAGCTACAGCCTCAGCTTCAGGCTCCACCTTCTCCTCCTCCACCTTCTCTGCAGCAGGGAGTTCCTCTGCTGCTCCTTGATTTTCCTCCTCCTCCTTCTTCTCCTCAGCCTTGCTCACCACTGTTTCCGTCGTGGTCACTGTGGTCTTCACAGCTCTGCCTTCGAGGGCAGAGACTGAACCATTGCTTGACTTGATTGCATCAAAGGAAGAGCTGACATAGGACGGGATACGGGAAGTCTCCAGGTTGAAGGAGTTAAAGTTAAAGGCTATATATTAAGAAGAGAAAGGGGATTGAAATCAAAATCTTGTTGTTTGTCACTGTTTATTTTTATGATGCTACAACACAGACTTACAGGTCTGCTTGGAGACATTGGTCTTGATTCCTGTTGCTAACCTATAGAAGGCATAAGCAACAGAATAATAAATAAAAAACAACATCTAGTAGATGCAGTTATTATTTCCACAACAATAGGGCACGCATGTACTGACAGCAGCATATTACCTGGTCTCCTCTCCTTCCAGCAGTTTTTTATACGTTGCTATTTCAATGTCGAGAGCCAGCTTCACATTCATCAGTTCCTGGTACTGGCGGACCTGCAGGGCCATGTCCTGTTTGGCTCTCTGGAGAGCTTCCTCTAGCTCTCGGATCCGCAGCTTGGCATCCTTCACTGCCAGCTCGCCCCGCTCCTCAGCCTCAGCAATCTGAGCTTCCAAATTGGTCCTCTGTTGGGGGGGAGGCATATGTAGAGAGAGGGCCAGGAAACTTTGACTTATAGCCTTTATTAATTGTAACAGAGCAGCTTGAAATTTTGGGAAATAACCAGAATTGAAGGAATTTGAATCCAGAAGTACATTGAAGTGAAGAAAGCAGATTAGAAACACCTGAAATGTGAATCATCACCTGTGCTTTGACCATGTCAATTTCAGACTGAAGCCTCATTATTCTGCGGTTCATGTCGGCAATCTCAGCCCTGGTGGACTTCAGGTCGTTATCGTATTTTCCAGCTGAGTGTTGCATCTCTGCATACTGGAACAACAAGAGCCACACAACACAAGAAGCTGTTTCATTAAGTTCTTGTTCTCCTTTACATCTTTTTTGTCTGTTGCTTCTAAAAGGTAAAATACAAAGTTTGAAGCTAAGCAAGAGGCTTTTTTTAAAAATGGAAGAAATGACATGCAAACAGGAGTCCATTCTGCTGATTAAATACTGGCATTCCTGCTATCAGTTTTCTCAACGTTGAATAATGACCTTATCTGTATTAGATGAAGAAGAAAAGGTCGTTTGACTTTAATTCATGCCTCAAAAATTTTAAAAGTTCTGTTAAAAACACCACTAGTATTAATTTCTACATATAACCAAGCAAGGATGTTCATGGCTTATTTGAGCGATAAACAGAGGTAGTTTCTAATTTAAATATATTCATTCAAATGAACTCAAAAGACCTTTGTAGATTAAAGATTAAAATATTTAAAGATGTGGTCTGTGGCAGCGTGACTGAAAATGTTTCTGTTATCTGTTACTTGTAATGTACTACAGCCTGTTTTTAATAAGAAATTAAAAAGGTTAATTTCGGTAGAAGATTTTGTTACAAATAAAAAATCAGGATCTTTCGTTTATGAATAAAACTACCCATTTATTTCAATCATGTCATGCTGACAAATAAAACAATGCAAGTGCACAGTACTAGTTAGATGACAATTTAAATAATGAGGCATCACCTTGTTCTGGTACCAGGATTCTGCCTCCGCTCTGCTCTTGTTGGCGATGTCCTCATACTGCGCCCGCACCTCAGCGATAATGGCATCCATGTCAAGATTACGGCTGTTGTCCATCTCCACCACAACAGATATGTCCTTGATCTGAGTTTGCAATTCATTAATTTCCTACACACAATAACAAGATAATAAATAATGACATCAAAGTTAAACTTAGTGTTTGGCAGAGACTTTTTAGTGGAACTTTGTAGTAAGAAAAAGGTTTTAACTGCATCATAGATCTGTCTCAAGAACTCAATCTCATCCGAAAGCCCGTCCAATTTTGCCTCCAGCTCCACTTTGGCCATGTAGGCTGCATCTGTGTCCTTCAGATCATAACAAAATCAACATTTATTTAATGAATGAATGGTGCACAGATCAATGTATGTTTTTTTTTTTTAACTAACTTTGATCTAACCTTCTTCATCAGTACAAAGTTATTCTCACACTCGTTGCGTTTGTTGATCTCTTCCTCATACCTGAGAAAAGGAGTCAGAAACTTTCAGTTAGAATTTAAATGAACTTAATAAACATATCCCAAATCCTCTGCCTTTGAATATAACAAACTACAAACATTCAGACTTGTATAGTATATGACAAAATTCTATGGGCTAAATATGCGGGTAACTCGTTTTTTATTAAAATGGCCTATTTTTGTGTGTTGTGCTTGCAAAATTGTGTTCTAAGCAAAACAATTTATGTTGCTCTAAAAAAAAATATCAGATTTTTAACAGTGTATTTTTTTTGCACTCTAATAGCTTACATTACAATATCCCCTTGTTTTTGTGCTGTTAAACGCTTGCTCAAAAAAATGTCATTGAAAAAGTAGATATCAACAAGTTGTATGAAAATAAAGAGTAAACCCACTAGCTCTACATGAGCAGCGATTTCAAATTAGCATTAGCATGATTAGGACTGTAGTGTATGGTTCAGGTTAAATGTGTGTTTATAGACAAGGGCAAACATCTGTGAATGGAGCAAGTGAAATGCACAAAATATTATAAGTGATTCAGTGGATTTTAATGAATTTTTCTGCCTTAGACTCTGTATTGGCAAACGCTCCTTCATTTCCTGAATCAGTATGGAGCATCTTTTTTTTCCCATGTTATAAAACTTTAGGTTTATTTCCTAAAACTTGTATGAGGCTACGGTAAGTGGATTTTATGGAAGCAAATAAGGTTAAAAACTTGAAACTTTACATACTTGTTTTTGTAATCCTCCACCTGGCCAGTGGTCTGGTGCAGTTCAGATTCCAGTTTAAATTTTTCATTACCCAAGTTGTCCAGTTGCTTCCGAAGGTTGGCGATGTACGCCTCAAACATAGAGTCGATGTTTGACTTAGATGTGGTCTGCTCCTGCAGAAGCTTCCACTTGGTCTCAAGCATTTTATTTTGTTGTTCAAGGAAGCGTACCTGTAAAACCAAGAGATTTATAAATTTATAATAAAGTAAGAGATTGATGTTTGTTTTCTTTTTTTTAGCAACGTGAATTAAAAGAAGTGTAGATTCCTTAAATTTGGCACGTGGCTTTCTGTGAAACGGGTCCCTCAGAGGGGATCTAGATGGCAAAAAGGAGATCATCTGGCAGTTGTGCTCTGAACAAGTCTTTTTTTTTTTACCTGTGCACTAAATAGCATAATGGTGACAGTAGCATGATCCATTCCTGCACCACCATCGAGTTCAGAGACAATAGCTGTGACATGGAGGTTGATATAGAAGGAACAGAAGTAGGGGTGAAAAGGAAACCAATAACAAGTTTGACCCCTGAGAGACAACCAAAGATAGAACCACAGAGATAAGAAAGAAATACACATAGTTCTTGAGTTCAAAACTGTGTGGCCCTGTGTCCTAAGGGCCAAACATATCACTGGTTTTTAACTATCCTCACTCTGGGTGGAGTCCGGATACAGATGAGTCAACATGAGAAAGACACCCAATCCTATAGGTATTTTTATGCTTTCTCACACTGGCCTGACGAGCAAATGGAGTGTAAGCTTTGTTTTGTCCTCCAAGGAGAAAAATCAGGCTTCATTTGAAACCCCTGTGATTACAGAGTGCCTCCTTAAATACATACAACATAGAACAATGACAAATCACTGAGCAATCTAACATTTTTGAAGCCAAAAAGAAAAATGTGTTTGTAGAAACTACCTACATGTTTACTTTAGACGGTCTGAAAATAATCCATCCTTCTTTCAGCCTCACAAAACAGGCATTGTTTCTGCTGCTGCAAGGATATACTGACAGTCTTTTAAACATGCCTGTCTCTACGATAGTTTTTAACCTCCTTTAACTCCTTTCAGATTTTATTTGTGTAATCTGTAAATATTCAGGCTAAAAACTCTAACAGGGTCGTGTTTTAACCTTTGAAAGAACATAAAAGACACACCTGATACGTTGTCTGATTCTCTAAGGGTATTATTGTACGATATTTCTCTGATGTGTAAATAACTCCTGTGCAGAACAAGTAATATCCCCCAGATTTGTTTCACAATATTTGTTATAAAACTTCTTCTCCAAAGCAATCCTCTAAGGAGGATCACCTGTTTTGTTTGCAAACCACTCATTTCCTTTGTACTTCCTGAGTGCTTCATCTTTCCCAGCTGGACGGTCAACACAATGTGCGTTATATTGTTTCATATTTCTGCAGTGAATAAGAACTTCTTTTTTCTATTGGGTCCTGCTCTAACAGATTAGCTAGATGAATGGGATAAACTAAATAATGTAACTTGCATAGATAACTTTATTTATTGAATAGAGTCATTTGGATTGGACCTAATTAAGACATCATAGACTACAGAATGCACATTTTATAGAAAAAAAGAGATAACTGCCTGGGCTTGTGATGGCCCCAAAGTTTAGTGGGGGGAAAATGCCCTGACAGCTTGATACTGGGACCCACAATTTAATTTTTCCCTTTTTTTTCATAATTCCTGCTATTTGCTATAACACTGACCTTGTCGATGAAAGAAGCAAATCGGTTGTTGAGGGTCTTGATCTGCTCCTTTTCCTGGATACGGATGGCCTGGATGGTGGGGTCGAAATCCAGATTAAGGGGAGCCAGAAGGCTCTTGTTTACAGTCACAGCAGTGATTGGGGCCCCCATTTCACTGCCCATACCACCACCAAAACCTACATGGCCAAAATCGCCTCCACCCCCTCTCAGCCCAAACCCCCCAGCAGCACCACTGCTTCCAACTCCTCCATAGGAGGTGCGGACGGCGTAGTTCTGCCTGGCACTCCCTACGCCAAGGCCCCCATAGCCAGAGAATGAGCGGCTGCTGTATCCTTGGGAGGGGCCCCTGGAGGACGACACTGTGGAGAGGGTGGTGGTCTTCACAGCTCTGACAGACATGGTCACACTGGAGGTCTTTAGCACTGAGGTGGAGAGAGAGGAGAAGAGAAGAGACTCTGCAGAGGAGAAGAGTCGGACAGACAGAGCCTCCCTGGACCTCAGTGGTATTTATCAGAGGAGGGGAGGGACCCCACTGAGGTACGATTGGCTGGAGCAAAGAGTGGCAGAAGTGAGGCAATGTCAGGAAAGAAAATTACATCATGTTACACATTTACAGCAAATTAAAGACCCAAGGGCCACAAATGTCTCAACTGTTCTCTTCTAAAACACAAAAGGTCTATTGTTCTGATATTTTAATAGATGCTTTTTCCATACTTTTATTTTTGAATTTGCAGTTTTGGCCAAGTTTTAACTGTTTTCATTTTATACTAAAGAGTTGTATCTCAGAAAAAATGAATAATCAATCTTCTCTACTGCCCAACCTCATGTCATAGGTGTGGTATTGAAACTTGGGCTGGTAGGTGTAATGTCCCAGGTCCCTTCCTCTCACAGTTGTGGAAACAGCAGATTTACCTATTTGCTTGTCGCAGCTTATCCTCACCCCAAACAGACCCTGACAGACGCCAAAACACAAGCGCAGGATGGATAAATGCATCACACTGGATAGTTTATAAATGCATTTACAATTAGCCCACAGCATTACTCTAGAGTTCAGATACTCCAAGTTTATCATCAGGCAGAATTAATATGTTTACATAAAAATCCAGTGAGTGAATTCCTCCTCTATCTGCAAGATCATGAACAAACACGGTCAGTTCTTTTTGTTATCATCAGACCCCACCTTAGCCTTTACAGCCTTGCCTATAGAACGAATGACAAAGAAGCTTAGAAAACTTCTTTCCAGGCTCTCTCTAGTTCTTCCCTGAGCCCTTGGCGTTTCTGCATTTTCTCCTGTTATTTTTTCTTGATGCTTCCATCATCTGGGATGGCCACATCAATCACTACAGCTGTCCTCTGCTGTTTATCAATGATCACAATAACCGATTGATTGGCCTAAACTATTTTGTCTGTTTGCATGTGGAAGTCCCACAAGATCTTAGCTTGTTCAGTCTTCAAGGTGGCTCCCGTTTTGACCTGGGGGTCTCCAGCGTGTATTCTGCACAGACGTTTCAGTATACTATATCAGTAACTTGGTTATTTTATGTCATATCTTACACCTTGGTGGGAGATGTTGGATTGTTTCTGGGGCCTCTTTGTATATAGCCTGCACCTGGAATCTTGCCTATGTAAGGATTTTTTTTTTATTATTCTTTATGTGTTTTTTTCTATGCACCTAATATAGTAGACTTCAGTCTCTATGGCTTGGTATTCAAGGCCGGCTCCTGTGGGTCAGTGCTTCTGTGCTGTCCTTCAGCGCGGCCCCCTCTAGTCATTTGTAGAATTTTTTTCATATCAACCATCATGTCATCCATCTGACTGTAATACATCCTTTTCTCCTCCTGTTATGATTCTTCCACTTCTATTTCTTCCATCTTCTATTGTGTTAGACATTCACTGAGCGCTTCATCTCTTGGGGGGCCATCTTCCTGATGTATTCTTGGAGCCTGGATGTTTCATCTTCAAGTTTGGCCATGATGCTAATTATTCCTCTGACTCATGCTTTATATAAATTTATGTATCTTTATGCATCTATAAAAATAAAACTTTCCCACATCATAATGCAACCACCTACAGTTTTTATTGTATGAACCTTCTTTGCCCACCAGAAAAGGCTTTACTGTCTTCCCAGAGTGACTTACCGGTATGTCTGATCTTTCATCCATTTAGAGGGGAAGCTAAGTTACTTTTTTTTAGATGCTCCAAGTTCAGAGAACTTTATTTGTTATCACCCATTTTCTCAATAAGAAAATTCAAAGTCCTGTACGTGAACAGAGTGGAAGAAAAGAAAATCTAAAGAAAAGTGCTTTGCAGTGACCAGAGAATGGCAAAGAAACTTTTGACTAGAAACTTTGATGATGCTTCACCTGACAGTTTGATTAAACAAAACAAAGACACACAAATTGTTTTTTTTTACTTTAATTTTAGCCTATCTAATGCTTTTCGACAGTTTTTATATAAGTGATTACTTACATCTACAGTTTAGGCAGGAATAAGCACAAGTTCAGAGACTTTGACTCAACCCGAAAAGCTGGTACAGGTTCATTTGGATGGCTTTTTATTAAAAGTTTAATTGGAAAACATGTTTTATTTAGTAACTAGTGACTGACTTTAAATTTGGTGTGATGAGCGTGTATTTAGGGTAGGCTGGGTTGAGATTAGAATTAGGCCAGTAAAGTGGATGCAAAAGGAAAGGAAGTCAATGCAAAATCCTTGTTAAGATAGATAGATGTTATGTGTGTGCATGTGTCTGTTTGTTTCCATTGCCATGGTTTCACATATATCAAATCTAAATAGATTTTTGAGAAGCCGCTATTTTCTCTGAGTTAAACATCATTCTTGCTCTCGGTGACTGGAAATCATGACCTGACTTGGCAGGTTTAGGAAGTTGCTACCAACTTTTGCCAGTATGATCTGCTTGCAACCTCAACATTTTAACCTTTAGATTATTCATTTATTGCTAGATGACTATACGAATGGTGCGCTGCAAAAAGTCATCAGGAGGAGGAGGCACATTTTATCAGATTCACAACTATTGAGGTTGTCTTTTTAAATCGCATGCTTTGCTTGGCTAGTCTCAAAGAGTGATGTAATTCTTCACAAAGGAGTTCTTGTGTTGAACTTGGAGACGACCATATATGTACAAGTTAACCAGTTGTTTTTTTTTTACTCTGGCTGCTCGACAAAGGCCAACCCTCAGACAGAGCTGCAGCTCGTTTGGTTGGGTCTGATTAAAGTTGTTTTTATCATTAATTTAATCCCCTATTAGATCAGGAAATGAGAGGAGTCTTTTTTCCAAACCTTTTCCCTCAAACTCAGATCTCCGTGGAGGCAAAAGTTGCTCCTTTGTGCCAATCTGCTAAATGACACACCAAGGTAGGAATGTGCTGAGAGAGACACATATGTGCGACAAGTCAGACAGAAGCAAGGGTGAGAAGAGGAGCTGGTGAGGGATATGAGAAGACAATTAGCAAAGATAAGAAAGAAATATGTTGCACAACCCCCGGCTGACTCACTGGGATGGGTAGGGGAGCTGGGTGGGATATATGAACCTGCACAGAAATGTCAACAAATAAAACTGTGCTTTACCTTAACATTCAATCATGGCTCTTTTTTATGCCCCCTATACATGGATTTTTCATACTAATAGGTTTGCTTTAATTTAACTTCTTCAGTGTTTGATGAAAAGGATATCTGCAAAAATAGTTTTAATTTGGATTTTTCACTTAATGTCAATTTGCCAGCAAGGTCCGGTAAATCTTCTGAGCTGTTTAAACATATGTTGTAAAAGTTACCTTCTGCTTCACCCTATGCACATAAAAAATCTACATGCTTTACTCATACAGCTCAGTGACCTTATACTAAGTAAACAAAAGAAAATCTATTTTGTAAGCAGATTCATATCTATAAACAAAACCTTTTGTGGCCGTGTGCTGAAATGCTGTTGTTTCAGTTAATCTGTTATTTTAGTTCAGTAACATGAAATTATGACCCCTGATCAAAGCAAAATATCTCTTTCTTACAACTGATATTCACGTCCTTTAGTGTATTAAACAGAGGATTAGGAGGTTGTTTTAAAAACATTACAATCTTTCTGTTGGTAGAGCTTGTATGAAACATCCACTCAAAACCCAAATAATAAACAGCGACTCTCATGGATGTAGAAAAAATTTATTATGATTATATGAAAAAGTTTTTTCATCTGTACTGTGATGCCAGTCAGGTTTATTTTAGAAACATAAAATATGTTTTCGATGGAATCTTCTGGGGGAAAAAATGACCGGTAGCAGCAGTTTTTCATTGAAAAAATGACTTGATCAGGAGAAAGCTACTTGGAGAACGTTTTATCAGGACTCCAGAATTACATCCATCATAGAAATCTGTAGCGTCCCCAGAAATAAGGTCAGGACAAGTGATGTCCTTTCAGTCTGGTAGGTTTACAAAACACCTAAATAAAAAGGGTGGGTCATGCGAAAAGACTCAAACCAAATAAATTAGAATAATAAAACTATATAAACAGTTACATCATCGGTTTCAAAGTTAAATATGTGCTAACAAACCAGACTATTACTCTTTTTTTTCTCTTTCTGCAACAGATTTGTTTGTTGCAGATTTTATTTCAACCTAAAGGTGGGTGTAAATTTTAAATAATCTATCTTTACATTCCGAAAAAGTCTGTCATTTTCACAGTGTTATACATACTTTTTAAAAGTGGGTGTACTTCAACACATCTTGGTAAATGTACGTTTAAAAAGCCAAAACACAATGAGTGGAAATAAACCCAAGCTGAAAGGTTTACGTTGTAGACTACAGACTGAATAAATATTTGTATTTTCTTCTCTAGTTTATTTCCAACCTTTTTTGTTGTTTTTATTTGTCTATCACAAACAGTAGCTTAATAGCGCGTACTTTACTTGATGTGTACATCCTTCTATTCTTCAACTACAGGACAGTTGTTTCACTTGAGACTCATGCCACCTAGTGTCAAACATGAGCATGTTCAACAGAGCAAACCCCTCTGTAGTTATTTCACAATGTTTGTCTGTAAGCAATAAACATAAAAATTAGAAGAAATACAGTAAATACTACAAATACATTTGATCTATATATGAGTTTTACTTTGTAAAAAATGTGACAAATGTTTAAGTTCTTTATTTTAATCTAATGCTTCAGATTTTTCTGAATGAATGTAAATATAATTAGACAAAGAGGACCATTCATCTTGAAAGAAAAAACATTAAGCTTATCTTTTAGTCAGGATGTATTCCTATAATAAATATTAATTTAATTTAAAACTTTTTCTCATCTGAACCTTTACTAAACTGGAAATAACCCGGTAATGTCCGTATCAGCGTTTTCCTCTGTTGTGAATGATACAGAATTATAAAATACTGTAGTAAAATTACCAGAACATTGTAACATAATATAATGAAGGACATTTTTGTAACACAGGTGCGAAATTAGGAAAGTAAAGTTCTTGTTTTTTTTT